AGGGCTATTTTTGGTTTAGCTTGTATCACTTGGGAAGCTGTGCAAACAAAACCAAAAAAGCCACTCTTATCCTGGAATAAGAGTGTCTACACAAGGTTTACACTGGTATTACTATATTGGCTTAACTATACCAGTTTAATTATACTGGTATAACTGATGAAACTTCCCTGTTTAGGCAAGCCCCCAGTGAAAGTTACAGAGGAAATATCCAGAACCTCACTTTTATGACAAACGTTTAAATAACATCAATGGCACTGATCCTGCAAACTCTATGTACTTAACTCTCCACCAATGCAGGGCCACTGGAACTACTGGTGTTGGAGATACGGCATCCCTCCCGGCTCTAAGTAATAATAGGAACTGAATGCAGAGCTTCCATCATATACCGTGTTTACAGTTTTGTTAGCTTTCAGTATTCCCACTATAAAACTTGCTCCAGCACCCATACCCCTGTACCGGTTCTATCGAATTATTCAGTTGAATTATTCAGGGCAACTGATTTATTCAATTCACATTTAAGCATGTGCATAAGTTCTTTAGGACCAGGGCCTAAAATATTAACTAACACATTAACATCTCACCTCTGTGTTATAAATAAATGAATTCTAATCTCCATACTATTGAGTATTACTGTCGAGTTTTGCAAATTTGACTGAATCTAACCAATTTTGTTTTATTTAGCTCCATGTCATAAAAGTAACAACTATCTAAAACTAGGTAAAAATAAATATTACTATTACAAACACCAGTCTTTGTCACTGGACTTTATCACTAAGTTTTACAATTATTATTTTTTTTAAAACTTTTCAGTTTCAAGAATTCTATAAGTGCTCCTGTGAAGAAACATTATGCAATTAAGTTAACGTTTCACACAAGTTATTACAGTGACATCTACTGCTCATTTTATTTTCTCTTTGGTACAATTTGTTATTGTTTAATTTTCTTAAGATGCAGGACTAATTTGATTTTTTCATATTACAAACACACGGCAATTTGTTTCCAGTAGACTTATCCGATTACTAGCATCTCCTGGGTCTGTGTGTGTAAAAAAATATGAAACTCCCTAATCCTCTCCTTCTGAGCCAATAGGAGTTTTGCTAACCTTTCATCAACTACAAGTTGCTCTTACAGTATATCATATTGACCACTGATTGGTCAGGGCCTTGCATAAAACACAGGTTGTCAATATATAATGGTAGAGTTCCCCAGATCATATTCCGTTTCTAAAATTTCTTTGGCTTCTGGGTTGAACAAAAATCATATTTAAAGGCCTAGCAAAGACCTTTAAGAAATATATGAATTAATCTCCATTGGGAAGAAAAGTATGTCTTCAATTCAAGTGGGGTATGATTTTGTTGCCTATAACCTTATAGTGTGGTCTTTGAATTTCTCCCTGGATGGTTAGTGTTTCACTCGGGTAATGTACCTAAAATTGACCTGAGAAAGACCAACCTTTTCTGAGTTTCTTTAAAAAAAAACCAAACAAACACCAAAAATCTAATGCAAAAAGTTATAGCAATCGTAAGTATAATTTATGGGGTGTCAAATAATAGAAAATGGACCCATATAAACATTAGAACAAACAAAAAATTGTTTGGTTGTGCAGTTAAGGTTGCATCAGGACATATGCCAACTATTCAAAACCTTAAAAGCATGAAAATAAGAAGTTATGGGGAAATACTCTAGCTTTCCTTGTCACCATCACACATCATCCACAAAGCACTGATTTCCATCTCTAACAAATACCCATAAGCAATATGCACCCCAGCTTCATGCTACTCTAATGCAAAACTTTAAAAGCAACCTTGTACTCTCTTATATCAATGGTCACACAGGCCATTCATTTGGAAATTTATTCTGCTTTAACATTACTGAAATCACAACTAAGGTTTTCCCTTTGAAACCAAAAATTTCAATACCTATTTCAATAACATTTTCCATGTTTTTAAGAAAAAATTTGATTTTTTTTAAATCCATTAAAAATCGTGAAAAAAAACTAAATGTGGGTCAATAAGGTACACTTCCTTAAAATATTTCAAAATTATTTTCATTTTGAAGATAGGTTTTCATTTTTCAACCTGCTCTACTCAATAGAAATAAATAAGTAATATTTATACCTTTTAATTTTTCAAAGTGTAATACAAACATTGTCCTTCCAACTCGCCTGTGAAGTAAGTTAATATAGGAGAGTTGAAATGATAATTCAGGCGTTTCTGGCTCCTAGCGGTATATCACATGGCTTCTCCCATTCAAATACAGGCCCCAGTTATACAAGTAGTCCCTTACATGAGGATGGCTGCGTTCACACATAGGCTCAATGAAGTCTGTGGGGCTTCACAAGGGTCCACTTGCATGGAACAACTTGCTGGATCAGAATCACAATTGGTAAAAAGTACAAAGTCTCTAACTATTCATCTCCCCTCCCATTCCCCCCCTCCCCAAAAACTCATTTTCTAAGGAAGGAGTAATTGTTGGTAATACCATATAGGAATAATGGAGAGTCTGGTATTCGCCTTTTAGTGTAGCATGAAGCCTGGTCATGTACCTTGATGGGAGCTGAGGATTTTCTGATGCTCCTTGCCTGCCCCCAACAGACAAATTGTAAGTGTTTTTCAATTCCAGCTCTAACCAGGCAGAGCTTACTAAGGGTACGTCTACACTTACCGGAGGGTCCGGCGGCAGGCAATCGATGTTCTGGGATCGATTTATCGCGTCTAGTGAAGACGCGATAAAATCGATCCCTGATCGCTCTGCCGTCGACTCCGGAAATCCACCGCAGCAAGAGGCGGCAGCGGAGTCGACGGCGGCGCGGCAGCGGTCGACTTGCCGCCGTCCTCACAGCCAGGTAAGTCGACCTAAAATACGCCACTTCAGCTACGCTATTCACATAGCTGAAGTTGCGTATCTTAGGTCGACCCCCCGCTGTAGTGTAGACCTAGCCTCAGATACAGAACCAGACCTTAAGAAAGCTGAGTCTGGAGGCCCAATAAGAAATGTGAAATAGGGCCATCCCACTTTAAAGGGAGTGGCATATGGCCAGGCATATTATGGCTGTACAATTCTGCCTCCTCCCCCCCCCCCCCCAAAAAAAAAAAAAAAACTAAAGACATTTTTAGCCTGATCCTGGAAATTTTTGTTCAAGATGGACAGAAAGAGCTGTTCTGATAGGTATGTTGGGATAAATTACATAGTCTGGGGGGATCCTGCCTTCCCAGGAAATTCATAAGATCTGTCCAAGATCTATAACCAATTTGATACTGACATGCGTCTGACGAAGTGGGTATTCACCCACGAAAGCTTATGCTCCAATACATCTGTTAGTCTTAAAGGTGCCACAGGACTCTCTGTTGCTTGATACTTTCAGTTACTTTAGGACAGTGGTGTTCACAGAGGTCTTAGAAGGACAGCTTGATATAAATACCCATATATCTAGTACTGCATTTTGCTAGACAGAAAAGAAATCAGAACAGCGAGAGTAGAGTGTCACAGAGTGTATGGAGAGGAGGGACAAGAGTGGGGAATCCTCTCCTTATCTAATGTTAATTACATAGCCCAGTAAGTCTCTATATGAGGTAATAATTTGCAGTATATACATTCTATATATTTAAAAAAATAAAAGAACACCTCAGCTATACCCCATGGCCTTGCAGGCATATAAGCTGTCATTCTCGTAGAGGTTATGGGAATAAAAACAATCTTGAAGAGAGATTTAAATAAGTAAGGGTAGGGTTCTCTCCGACCAGTTTAGGACAGGAATTACATGAATGAAATAATACCTGAGTGGGGAGCAGTTGTGATGTCACAAAAAAGGGACTATGGCTTTATGCAGGGGAATAATGAAAATCTATGTAATGCAAAAACATGCTTGTATCACAATATCATGAGACAATCTCAAAATAGTGTGAAAATGTCACAAACACTCAATCATGTGACCACACAAATGATGACACGTGGAAACACCATGATGATATGTAGAACCCCCGGCTCTCCCTTACTGCACCAACTCTGAAGAACGAAATAATGTTGCAACATAATGATGTAAAATTCACAATGGGTGGCAACCCTGACGGAACTCCCAAGTAACAACAACTTATTTTCATGCAAATAACCTTGGCAATAAACAGGAAAGAGAAATACATATCTCTCTCAATGTAACTTTTTTTTAAAAAGTCAGCATGAGACACTAGTGAATCTTGATATGGGGTATCAAGAATGAGATGGGGGGGGCGTAAAGACAAGACTGGCAGATGTTTCTGTCCACTCCCACTGCTGGAACAGTGCTCTGTGTTATTATTATTATTAGCTATGCATTTCAAGACAGGTATCCTACTAGCCACTCTCTCCCACAGCACAGGTCCCGGTAGGTGCAGGAGGGCTCTGCATGGAGCACCCTGTAGGGGCGGGGCCAGTTTGTAGTACTGTATTTGACGCCGCACCAATATTTTTACTAGTGCAGCAGGTAATTCTATTTCCAAGTTTTCCAATGTTCCGCAGACCGTTTCCCCCTATGGAAAAGGCTGGAAGTTCTTCCTCAAGAACAGTCACCATGTCTTATGAACACCTCTAGCTTGTACACAGAGCGCCCTGAGAACACCCTGGGCGCGTTTCCCCGTTCGTTGCTTGTAGATGTAGGTGTGAGTTTTGCTATATCTGATGCATAACTGCACAATAACAACAGCCACACTGCCCAGGGACAAACGGGGGTGGGGGTGGGACACTAGTGAGGGGTCACGTTTTCCCTCCTTCCCCGGGAAACTTTTTAGCGTCCGGACCGTCCTACTGACGTTTCAAACACAGCGAGACTTTGTGGGGCCCATGTATTTGCATTGCAGACTCCCCTGCCCCTGACGCTTCTTACCGGGCTCCACCTCTCTGGGGTGACCGCTGCAAGCAAACGAGCAGCCCAGCGCCTCGCCGGCGGAGCGACGCTTCAGTCATCGCCCTAAGGGGGAGTGGCAGCCTGTCGCCCGGCCCTGAAGAGGCGGCTCCAGCGGCAGCGAGCGGGCGCGCATGCACCGGCTCGGGCGGCCCCGTTGAGGAGCACGCTTGGCAGGGCTGAGGGGGAGGACCGGCTGCGGGGGCCCATGGCGAGCGGGGTAAGGCGCATGGAACGTTCCCCGGGAGGGGAGGAACGCGGCCGCTCCCCGCGGCCGCGCTCCCGGGCAGAGGGGGGCTCGAACAGGCGGGGAAGGGGGGCTCGAGCAGGCGGGGAAGGGGGCCGCTGGGCAGGCAGCGCGGAGGAAGGCGGGAGGCTGCCGTGCAGGAGGGCCGCGTCCTAGCTCGCTAGCTGGGCTGCCGGGGTGCTCCCAAGCGACCGCAGTGCTCTTCTGATCCGCACTCCCAGGAGGCGACCTGCTGGAGCTGGGGTTTGCTCACGCTGGAGTTGCCCGGAGTTTTAGAGCAAACAGGTGTTTTCCTTAAATCACAGTACAGGAAGCTGGACATCGAGGGTGTTCTTCCATAGAGTCCATCGCAGGAGGTTAACTTGCACTGTTGCTTTTTCTTAAGCTTTGCGATGCAAGCACACAGCATCGTTTAGAGTACAGCATGGAATTTATTATCTATCACTTCTGTTGTGGTAGCGGGCAAAGACCCCAGTTGGGAACACGGGTGTTAAGTGCTGTATACAATGCCATGGTCCTGTCCCAAACAGCTTATGACCTGGAGTCCCAGTGAGTTCAATAGAATTGCACACATGCATAACGTTATTCATGTATGTGTCTGCAGAAGTGTGGGCCTAAGATGACAAGTAGCCTGGCACAGATAAGATCAGGGAGAAATATCCATGCATTCTTGACTCCTAAGAAGAACTATAATCATTATAAATGTGTTTGCCCCAAAGGGGTAAATATTTATACATCAATCTGGAAGGCTGGGTACACAATTAGTTGGAAAACTTGTTACTATCATCTGCCTGTTTGACCCTTTGTGGTTGCTGTGAAAAAGATTGGTATATCAATCTATCCCTCAGGGGTTCTCAAACATCATTGCACTGAAACCCTCTTCTGATAACAAACGTTATTACAGGATCCCAGGAATGGGGACTGAAGCCTGAGCCTGCACAAACCCTGCTCCCCGGATGAGGGTGCCAAAGCTGAAGCCCAAGGGCTTCCGCCCTAGCTGGTGAGGTTTGAGCTTCCGCCCCAGGCCTCAGCAAGTCTAAGCCAGCCCTGGCGACCCCATTTAAACGGGATCGCGACCCACTTTGGGGTCCTGGCCCACAGTTTGAGAACTGCTGCTCTACAGTTATAAGATCAGCAGATACTGTTCACCCAGTGACAATGAGTTGGCCATTTCACGTAACTATTTCAAAATCTCTTGAGAGTCTAACTCTACACACTGCTTTCTTCCCCTCAACTGCATCCTACATCACCAGTCGGTCTGAGTAGGTCAAATAATTAAATGATTGCCCAGACAGTGAAAGCTTGTCCTACCAACTGTTCCAAAATAAGATGCAACTTCTACAACTGTTCTAGTGGGCTCAGCTGTAATGGCATAAACAGAAAATGATTGTGTGTTTGGAGGGCTAGCTTGATTGAATTAATAAAGATACTGTTTCGATGCTAATATCTGTAATAAAGAACAAGAAAAATACAGCAAATAACCTTTTTCAAATGTTGTCTTCAGAGCCTCTCAATGAAGCAACAGAAAATTAAATTTCAGTCTAATAATTTAACAAAACTTTGATACCCTAATTTCAGTTTTTAATATTCCGGGGGCCTGGATAAACATTAACTACCTATTATTTCAAGTCTCCTCTATAAAGGCTACACTTTTAGACTGAACAGCATGTTGTAGACTGAGAGGTACTTGGAATGAGCCTTCTGCAACATCTTGTCATATCTGTTGAGTTGTCATATCCTTTTTTTGCTTTTTATTTTTAGAAGTATTTATGCAGGGAAAACTAGGAACTTCTACCTTTTTTTTTATTGTAAATTTAAGATGTGTAATGTTTGTTCATTGAATGTTCACAGCCAACTATTAAGGTCTACATCTATTCTATAACTTTTATTTTTTAAGCCATCTCTTTATTTAAATAATCCATACCCATTCACATTTTGAAAACATTTACTCTTAAATCCTCACATTTGAGAGAATGAATCAGTTTTCATATTGTGGAAAAGGGCTTAATTGAAAACTTATTTAGTTATTTACTGGTTGACAGTTCCTCTTGTACTTTGATCCCTAGAAATTAACTAGATTTCCTGGCAAACTTTCAGGAGTTTAGTCACAATTCCCCAAGTGCAAAGCAGTGTAACTTGTTGGTTTCTATGCAGCTGCTTTCCCAAAGTTAATATATCACATTTATTATATGCATACAGACAATAATGCAGAATAAACTAGCCTGAAGTTTGTGAAGGGCTGGGAAAGAAGTAACAAAGGCCTTTTATGCTTGGGGGAAGTTGATTGTTATGGCTATTCCAGTATAAGGTAACTATTTTGGAATAGCTCCCCCATGTTGGCACTCAGTTTTGGAATAATTACTCCGTTCACAAAGCAATAGTTCTAGCTATGCCAGTCAATTTCCCTGTGCAGACAAAGCCTTAAATTCAGCTTCAAAGTTCATTAGAACAGGCCTCTGTGTTCTGTGGCAAGCTATTGCATGTAGCATTTCACTGAAAAAGATGCTGCCTTGTGTGGTTAAAAAGGAGAATAATTTAGGTTAACAGATATACTACCAGCATAAGATTTTTCCATAGCTCCTCAGACAATTGAACTGAAGCTCATCAGACTTTTAAAAAGGGAAATCTAAGAGCAGTCCAGATCCTCATTCTCACAGGACCCAATTCTGCTCTTGGTTGCATGGATGTAACTCCTGCTGACTTCCTCAGCTGGAAGTGCATCCATGTAACTGGAGGCAGAATTGGAGCCATTGATTCAAAAAAATGTTGCTTTTTCAAGAATCTAAGTTCTGTTTATCTTTAAAATGTTTCTACCCTACTTGAGTGAAAAAGTGAGCTTCCCCAGATAAATAAATGCAGTGTAGTCTTAGGGTGAAATTCATCCATGATGCTGAAGCCTACACAGAGTCTTGGTTGTGGGCAGTTCTGCTGGCAGAGTGGTCACACAGAAGTAAGTATCTGTGCATCCCCTATGCATTGCATAAAAGTTCTCTGTGCTGGCCACATGTAGTCTGCTGCAGAAAGCCACAATGGGAGCAGGCTGGGTGGGGGGCAACAGATTGACCTCTGTGTTGATCCGAACTCTTATGTGAGACAAATGGCTTAACTGAATTTTCCAAGCTTTGAAATCTTGATTGTGTGTACTGCTGGCACTAGCTACAGAAAAACACCATGTGCCTCACATAAATGCTGATTGTTTATTTTAAAATGTCACTGGCATTATCTAACATTTTTCATATGACTCTTTTCCCCCCTCCCCCCATTACCACAACATACTGTCTTCAAAGTACTAAAATAACACTTTTAAGTCTTGGTGGTTCTTGTTTAAGTTCCTGAAAGCAAATGTAGGGCGTCTGTCCCTTTGTTCTAAAGTCATTGGGAGTTGAGGGAAGGATCTGACCTATAACTTCATATCTGGGATTATTTCCAAAAATTAGTAGCCTTTCTTTTGTTTTTCCCTCCAGTGCACAAGAATTATTATAAATGAACAGTGCAATAACTCGGCTCTTCTTTCTCATTTAGGTTATTAAATGCAAGGCCGCTGTTGCCTGGGATGCAGGTAAACCACTCTCTATAGAAGAGGTAGAGGTTGCACCACCAAAAGCACATGAAGTCCGTATTAAGGTAACTTAAGCAAATGTTTATGGCCTGCTTTACGCTTTGTACTTTGGGAGACCAAATAATAAAGCTGAATAATTTGTTTGCCCTTGTAGGAAAAAATGTTGAATTTACAGTGTTTGTGTTATCTGTTTGTTTGAAACCTAGGTAAGACTCTAAAGAAAATGATGGTGTCTGGTTTTTGGGATGGCATAAAATGAAATGGCTGCTGGTCTGAGGCCTAACACTTATTTTGGTCTTGGGCCAAAGCCTAAAAATCACTGCTGTTCTGAGGGATCAGTAGCAATATCAATCCATCTGAGTGAGAAACATGTGCTTTATCCCAATGGAAACCTAACCTCATTCATTCATTTATTTATTTTAATTTTTCAAACTGTATGTGACTTTCAGTGCTAGCCATTTCAGTTCATAATTTATCAGACCTCAAACTCATCACTGTGATTAGCATCTTGCACACTCCAGATCTTCACTTCTGATTCTAACAAGACTTTTAATAGGCAGTATCTCCCAAACTAATATATAGGGTGCAATGTGCCTCCGTGCAAAGAGTCCACATGAGGTCCTGTGTGCTACTTAACACTTCTATTAAGAACTTACATTGGATTTATGCAGTGCTTATAATGTTATATGGACCCTCTCTACAGGGTGTTTTTTTTTTTTTTTTTCACTGTTGAAGATTGATCCCATTTGAAATCTGGGGTACCACGTTGTTTTCAAATCACATAGAGCACTGGCTTTAGCAGATCTTGAGCCAGCAGCTGCCAATTTTACATCAGTACTGAAGGGATGAGAATCAAGCAGAGATCAAAGCAATGTGATTATTTTTTCAGGTCCAATATATCTTGTGAGTTGCCGGAGCTAAAAACACTTTGGTTAAACTACTACAAAAGTCTTCAGAATCAGTGAATTCATCCTAGCACTAGTCTTGGATTACTGACCAGGAAAAATATTTCAATACCGGTTATCTCTTTAGATTCTCCTTCGTTACCTCCAGAATATTTCAGATTATTATAATATTCCTTTAGGTTGTTGCCACTGCTGTCTGTCACACAGATGCCTATACGCTGAGTGGTGCTGATCCTGAGGGGTGTTTCCCAGTGATTTTGGGTCACGAAGGAGCAGGAATTGTGGAGAGTGTTGGGGAAGGAGTAACTAAATTAAAACCAGGTAGGAAAACATTTGGCTCTTCACAAACGCTTTTTCTAATTTCTTTGGAAATCTTGCTTCACGAGAATAAATTGCTCCAACTTGTCCACTGAAAAGCAGAATTAGCGAGCTGCCATGATGTTTTTGTTGGGCTATACCTGCCTAAAATTTTCCTTCATGGGGGTGGTCCAATACTAGCCTAACTAATGTGCTCTTGGTTTATTATTCAGAAGAGAGTAGTTTACAGGATTATGGTGTAATACTGTATGGAGAAACTATTTTTGTTCTAAAAGTGTCAGTTGTTTTTAACCACTTGAACAATTAGAGATAACAGCTGTCTAGATATTCTGTTTTTTTCCATATAGGTTTTACATCTTTGTTCCTATTTGTTCTTGTTTAACTTTAGATGGAAATGGATTGTTTATTCAGACATGAGATGAATCAGGGTTTTTTTATACACAGCACTTTACAAAACCTGTACTTTGTCATTCTATATTTGTAAGTGCATTGGAGACTTCAAATGCACAAATAAGACTGCATGAATGATTGCCCCCATTAAAATGTCATGGTATTGACCATGTTAACATTTGACCACATACCAAATGTGTGTATGTTTCTTTCATATTATCCTTTCAGCCTTTAAACAGCTAGTCATGTGAAATGTTTCTCTCATTATGTTCTCTAGGTGACACAGTCATCCCACTGTACATCCCACAATGTGGAGAATGCAAGTTCTGTTTGAACCCTAAAACCAATCTCTGCCAAAAGATAAGGTTGATGCACTTTTTTCTTGATACACACAGAACAATAATTGTTCAGTGTAGCTCACTTATGTAACAAAGTTAACTGAATTTGTATCATTGTTTTGACTTCATGTACCATCTGATTAAATACAGAGCAAGGTCACTTAGTTGGAAAGATGTATGTTTTAGGTTTGTTATGCAATACCCATTTTTCTCCCTTTTTTCAAGGCTTAGTAGTCGGTTTTTTGGTCTCACTTAAATTCACTTCTTTGTGTGTGGCTGTGATACTGTGCTATGAATACTATCATTTGTCAAGGTATCTAGTAATGGAGGATGTATTCAAAATTCTGTTTGATTCAAGTGGTAGCTTATCATAGAAAATTATTGCCCTTTGAATGAAGAAATTGACCACAGCGAGTCATTCTATGTTCAACCCAAGGAACAGTAGTTTTCCCTTTATAAACAAGAATCACAGTCTGTTTTCTACCCTTTAAAATGTCTTTGTCCTAAAATGTGATGCACTTCAGTTAGCCTTTGCTAAGTTGTTGCATGTTTAGATCTCAGTCATGTAAACCAGTGGCTCTCAAGCTTCCCAGACCACTGTACCCCTTTCAGGAGTCGGATTTATCTTGTGTATCTCCAAGTTTCACCTCACTTAAACTACTTGCTTACAAAATCAGACATAAAAATACAAAAGTGTCACAGCACAACCCTATTACTGAAAAATTGCTCACTTTCTCATTTTTACCATATAATTATAAAATAAATCAATTGGAATATAAATATTGTACTTACATTTCAGTATATCGTCTATAGAGCAGTATAAAGAAGTCATTGTATGAAATTTTAGTATGTACAGACTCCGCTAGTGCTTTTTGTGTAGCCTGTTGTAAAACTAGGTAAATATCTAGATGAGTTGATGTACCCCCTGCAAAACCTCTGCATACCCCCAGGGCCACATGTACCCCTGGTTGAGAATCACTGATGAAAGCCACTCAGCCAGCAGCAGAGCTCCAGCAGTTATGGTAGCTACCATTTTAGCAGACCCAGATTAAATCGCAAGTAAACACTAGCATGACCTCATAGTTTCCATTCATGCATACCACAAAACCACTATCCACTATGATGGGATTGGCAGAGGCTGCTCAGAAGAGACTTGGGATATGTCTATACTGCAATCACAGGATGTGATTTTTTTAGTTCATGTAAACGTAGCCAGGCTAGCTTGATTAAGGCTAACTAAGGAACCGGTAGCACTGAAGCCACAGCAGTACGTGCCTCTGGGCAGGTAAACAAGCCTGCTCAGAACCCTGAGTCGTTACTTGGGTGGCTACCCCATGCTGAAGCCTGTGCTGCCTCAGCGTCACTGCTCGGATACCCAAAGTAGCTAGAGTAAAGCGAGTTCAGGTATGACTGCACAAATTGCAAATCATACCCCACCATTGCAGCGTAGGCATACCCTGGGACTAAAAGAACAGAGGATACAGTGGGGCAGGAGTGGGGTGTGTTGGAAAGAGCAGTTATGGTTTATAGGCATTGTGCGGTTTCCTGAATGTCTGTGTCAGAGTGCTGTTAGGTCCTGCTTCATCAAAGCACTTAAAGTGCTTACGTCCCACTGAAATCAGTGGGACTTAAATGCATTCTTAAGAACTTTGATGAATTGAGGCTTTGGAGCATGATCCAAAGCCTGTTAAAGCCAGTAGAAAGATTGCAACAGGCCTGTAGTCTCTAACTTTCATGAACTCAGGCTTTACTTAAATGTCTTCAAAATTTTGACTCTACGGGTAATCATGTAGCTAAATCTCCATGCACTGCTCAGAAACTGTACCACTTGATGGAAATTAAGTCACTTCCTAGACTCTCTCCTATCACTTTCTGTGACACTACATTAAATATCATTTGTTGTATTGTGTTTTTTCAGAGTTACCCAAGGAAAAGGACTGATGCCCGATGGTACCAGCAGGTTCACCTGCAAAGGGAAGCAAATTTACCACTTCATGGGGACTAGCACCTTCTCTGAATACACCGTTGTGGCTGACATCTCTGTGGCTAAAATTGATGCTGCTGCTCCTCTGGATAAAGTTTGCCTATTGGGCTGTGGAATTTCAACAGGCTATGGCGCTGCCATCAACACTGCCAAGGTACGGAGCCTAGCTGCTCACTCTCTCTTCCCCGTAACTGTGGCTAATGACATTAAACTGGAAATAAAGTACTGCCATGAAAATCTGTTAAGGCTGGGCTTGGAGAAAGTAAGACCAGAGGAACAGTCACTGAGTGGGAGAAGGGACATGTGCTCACCACTTCCTTCCTTCCTCTTCCACTGCCAAATTTGACAGGGAGCCAGACCTAGTAGGAAACAGGAAGATTGACCTGGGCTTCCTACCTGTTTAGCCTCAGCAGACAAAGTCAGATCAAAAACCCTCTTCCTCCTTCTCCCAGCTCTCTTTGTGCAGAGTGGGGTAGAGGAAGCATGTCTTGATGGAGGCAAGTGGATGTGGAGAGGAGCCACCTTGAACTGTTCAGGGATTTGTTTGTGGATGGATATTATGGATCAGTTGGGGTTACCTTATAGTAAGGACAGACTTGTACATATTGACAAGGTTGACAATGTTGCAATGATCTCTGCTTCCACCTGTTCTCATGCCACCATCCCATTACGTGTCAAGTTCTCCCTCTTTGTTTGGGGGAAGGGGGGGAACCGTCCCACGGTTCTAGTGGAGACCCTGAGCCATTGCCCACCTTTTGGGCAAGGAGTAAACTTAGCCCATTATAGCCCTTCAAAAACAATTCATAGACAAGAAAAATCTCTAGCTTACTTCCCTACCTCTGCGCGATAATGACTCACAACTTTGGATTTTTATTCTTTATTTTTCTTAATATTTTTAAATAATCTGTATTTTTCACACACGTGGAAGGATGTGTTTTTTCTTTCCTCCCTCCTGAACAGATTTCTCTTGCTTTGTTAGGTGGAACTTGGTTCTACCTGTGCTGTCTTTGGATTGGGAGGAGTTGGGCTGGCAGTTATTATGGGCTGTAAAGTGGCTGGAGCTTCCCGGATCATCGGCGTTGATCTCAACAAAGATAAATTTGCCAAGGCTAAAGAGTTTGGAGCCACTGAGTGCATCAACCCTCAGGACTTCAAGAAGCCCATACAGGAGGTGCTGGTTGAGCTTACTGATGGTGGAGTGGACTACTCTTTTGAGTGCATTGGGAATGTTGGTGTCATGGTAAGCATGCACATGGTAGTACTGAAAGGGAAGTTTAACTATGACTTGGGATAGTTAATTACCTTAAAAGAAAGACAAGCCCCTTTCTGTTTACAAGGGAGCATTCTATCATCTTTCTTTTCTATCGAGAGTAGGCTGGTACTACTTATACAGTAGACTAAAAGGGTCTATTTCAACCAATCCTAATTATAAAATGAAAGACAAGTTACTGCTTAAGTGAAAAACAGCTCCTTTATGTTCTAAAATATAATTATTGGAAAAAAATTAGTCATGCAAGCGCTGACAGTGCTGAAAAACAAAATATCAGCAAATATACTCCCTGTGATTTCATATTTTCACCTTTCATCCCACATGACAAATTAAATACCTTAATTACAATATTGCTAGGAAGTAACGCTAGGTGGAAAATAATTTTTTCAGTAACAGCATAGACCAGGTTGTTCTTTCAAAGTACAATCCAGCATCCATTGAAATAGACAGACTCCAGGTGGGAGATGGGACTGCACCGTGTTTTAAAAACAAACAAAAAAAAGTGTGGGGCAAGGTGTGGGAATATTGGCCATTTTACCAGTTAAATTATATATACACTTGTCAGAATTTTTTTCTTAACTAGGTACAGCATCACTGACACTTACTCTGTGTTAAAAAAAACGGTGAAATCTGTCAGGCTACATAGCATCAATATATAATAGATGCTTCTTACCAGTGATTAGCTTTATTTTTTTCTGTCTAAAGAGGGCTGCCTTGGAATCCTGTCACAAAGGCTGGGGAGTCAGTGTGATAGTTGGAGTAGCTGCTGCTGGTCAGGAGATCTCTACCCGTCCCTTCCAACTAGTAACAGGTCGCACGTGGAAAGGGACTGCCTTTGGAGGTAACTTTCTGGCACACTGATGATCTCTCTTATCTACTAAAAAAAGAGGGGAAAAGTACAGTCTTCCTCTGTATTTGTGTGAGAAACTGGTTCCTATCAAGTCATTCTTAGTGAATGTGATACTGGCTTTTCAAATATAACCTTTTATAAATAATTTTCCCCCACAGACAAGCTGTAAATGATCAGCCTTCTGTTGCATTTTAAATTCATAATGTGCAAGTAGCAGCCATAATGGGAGAATTTCTCCTGTGCAGTTCTATGGCTGTATCATGGTTGAGGTGCAAATAATCACTTGAAGACTTGAGCAATAACAAGAAGAACAGCTCACCTGGGAAATGGGGAATAATGTAAACATGTTTGTGTAAGTAACTGCACTGTTTAATCACTGAGCAAATGGAATCATTGAGCTCTGCTGTGAGGATGCATAGCTTGTGTGGGGGAGGAGGGGGTTAGACAGTAAAACGGGGGATCCTTTAAGAAGAAACTGTTTAGACATAATTCAGGAATGAAAAGCTGCTGGAGTCTTCGCAAAGTGCCACTTTTATGCAACTCTCTTCCATGCAAGACAAAGCTGTGCTGTGGTCTCGTTCTAAAATACACAAATGTAAAACAGGGAAGAGGGCTCAGAGCCAGTTTTCTGAGGTGATGTCAGCTAGACATTGAACCCAGATCCCTGCAGTGAAAAGTAATGCACTTCGCAAATGAGGACCTCCATTTTGACTGGTCGTTTTAGCTGTACTCGTGCATTCTTTATTCCAGTGCTATTCTACAGCCAGATGGGTATGGATATTATGACATGATCCCAGGATCTCTCTCATACAAAGAAAACTGAGCTTTAATGACTCATACTATTGGGGGGCAGGGTTGATACATTTTATTTCCTACCTCTGCCCTAGTAAGGTTTTGAATTTACTGGGTAAAAAAAGTTGGTTTTGGGTTTTTTTCAGGTTGGAAGAGTGTAGAGAGTGTACCAACGCTGGTGGCTGAATACATGTCAAAAAAGATCAAAGTTGATGAATTTGTGACTCACACTCTGCCTTTTGACAAAATTAATGAGGCTTTTGAACTGATGCATGCAGGGAAGAGGTAGGTTTAAATGTCTTATGTCCGTAACATTTAATAGCTCAATAGTTTGTAGGGCACTGCTATGTTCCTCCTCTCTAGCTACCTGTTGTTCTGACCCTCCTCCCCCTACCCATGCATCCCTTTCGTGTTTCAGATATGCTGTGTGAAGTGCCATGCAGTAAGTGTGTTCATGCACAACTAGAGCAACTCATTGCTCACTCTCTGTTCCTAGGTTAGTGCTGCAACATCAACCTCTATTTTGGGTGGGGACAGGTGAAAGGCAAGGAAAATTACAATGGTTGGTGTTTGAACAGAGGAGGAAACAAACCATAAACTGGAAAAAGAAAGAACTAAAGCCATAAAGGACAAAAATAAAAAAAGCTAACTTCAAGCACCAGAATAAAAGTAGAGACCGAGAAGGAAATTAACAAAAGAAAGTACTTGGATATTAAAATCTCAAACTTAATTCAGAACAGTTAGCATTTTAGATTACACTAGAACCACAGAGTTAAACTGACCAATCAACCACATTCCTCATTTGGAACTGGAAGTACACAATCAGACAGCAGCTGACCAAAGACCAAAAAAAAAAAAAAATCGCAAATACAGTACAGCACTGGTAAACGTAAACTACTACAAAAATAAAGGAAAGCAGCATTTTTCTTCTGAATAATAAAATTTCAAAGCTGTATTAAGTCAATGTTCAGTTGTAAACTTCTGAAAAAGCAAAATTTTGTTCAGGTACAAACCACCTCCATGCCTGTGTTCATAACGGAGTCTACTGTACTTCATTAAATAATAGATTTAAATTTCATGTTCCTCAATGTATTTTAAATAATTGGCTGATTGTTAATATTGAATCTAACCTAGCTATCATCTGGTAGTGAGCTGTTAATGTCCAGTTTACATTTATTAACATGCTGGAGTTGTTCTGTCCCTTATCTTGTTCACCAATGGATTTTTTTCCCCCTAACATGTGACTGGAGGCAGAACTAAAGAACCTTCAGTCACTGGCTGTGACTTAACTCTGCCCATGTTATCTTACCCGGAGTTTCTTCTCAGCTCAGGTAAATGGCAAAATTGTGCTGCCGTTTGCAAAGCAAGCTTCAGCTATAGCAATAAGTAAATTCAAGACACTTTTCCTCAGGAAAGGCGAACTGAGGCTCTCATTGAGCTTGGTGCAAGCCTGAAGGAAAAAACATGAACATTATTTATAGATTGTGAATCAGCGCAGGAGCAATTCTGCCACCTGGTGAATACCAAATGACATATCACAAAAGCATAATACACAGTCCAGGATCTGTTTCAGTCATAGTATAGCCTTGGCAACCTTTGTGAAAGGGATGGTCTGGTTCTCTCCCTGTAAAGCAAAGGCTGGATCCACTCATGGATTTTATATAACATTTCTCTTTGCACGTGAAGGAGAAGAGAGCCTGTCCATAGACACAATGGCAGAATCCACAGCTGTGACTTAAAGCGTAAGAAGGTTTAACTCAAAGGAAAAGGCAACATCCAGTTTCAGTCTTAGAAATAGCATTAAGTTTTGTTCTCCAAGCTGATGAGTTCCATGCCTATAAGTCAAAGGCCAGACTACTGGGAATTCATCAGGATAGTAAGTGAGAGCTTTAAATCCAACTCCTAATTAAGTTTCTAAACAATCTGTATGAAATAGCTATCTTTCCCCCTAGAAATAAAAGCAGGATTAATAAATGGTCCAGGTCACCTACCTCTTAAGAGCATGGATAAACGGAGAAGGGGAAAATCAATTGGTGGACATGATAGGAATCAGACAAATTTTTTTTTTTCTAGTAATTAAATTTTATATTCTCTAACACTGACAACTGCAGACACTGCATTGCCCACACATATCCAATTAACTTGTAGGAAATGAGACTTAAAACGTATCCAGTTTATAACTATTTAGTGCACTTCTGTGCTCCCATGTAAGCACCCTCTGAAATTTAAATAGAGAAAGCTGTTTTAAATTCAGGCTGGGGAAAAAGAAAATGCATTTAAAGCCATCCATTTGACTCAGTTGACAAACAGTCACAAATACTGAAAATTGACTTTAGAACTTGCATAGGTTTTTTTATAAATATTCTCAAATCTAAATTTAGTGTGGAAGAACATATTTACATCTTTGAAGTGAGGGTTTAAAGAGTATAATGTAGGGAATTGAAGACATTAACCAACATGACTGACTGGTTTCTCAACTTACCAGATAACTCAGATTAAAAAAAGGAAATATTAATTTGAGAGAGAGAGGATGGGAGGCTTGTTCTTAGATGAGATGTAGGATTAAGTAACATTTCAAAAACAGTGGTGAAAGTCTTATTATTGATACCTATTTTTGTCTTGTTTTTTTCCTTTGTTGAAGCATTCGAAGTGTCCTGAAATTTTAAGGATCCGGAAGATGGAACCTGCCAGTCTTAGCACTATGCTGTGTCTACTAGTTAATGGAGCTTTTTGAAGACGTGTAGGATCAGCTGGAGAGAAAATTCAGTTGTGATGGGAAAACCATCTGCTTTAGGATCATAGTCTCTATTAAATCATAGGTAACCTGATCTTAGACTAACGATAAATACTAAATCCAGTTATGAAACTAATGCTGGTTGTGGTCATGAAATTAATGTTTTATTCTATACTAGTCATTCCTGAATTCTGACAGTGCCTAAATCTTTAAAGCTGCTTGGTAGTTTTTTTTGTAAACACCACCTAGAAACTTTCATTCCTCTACAGTCATTAATGTGTTTTCTCTACTTCTAAAAAGTTATTAGATGGACTACGTAAGACCTAAAGATCTGTGGGTTGCAGATGTGTACAGAGAAACTCCCTCCCCATGCAAAATAGGGTGAGGAGAAGACCCAGCTGTATCTGCAACAACTTCCTAATCCTCATGATGGGGGATCTTCCTGCAGTGCTCATCAGCAGTAAAAGTTAAATGTTGCAGTTAAGTTCTCACATTGTAGAGAACCCCATGGATGTAGTATTTTATACCATTTTATTCGTTCAGAGCTAGGTTTTTTTCAACCACAGCCATTAGACTCTTATCAGGGGAAGCTTAGTTTCTGCAGATGATTGGGCTGCCAGTGAACTATTGCACTACAGGCTGAAGCTGACCTTATCCTTCATAGTACAGTCTAAGGAGACAATCTCTGAGTAAACTCCTCTCCTAACTTAACTGCTGTGGAACCCAGAGGCATGGGAGAGGGTGATTTAAATCAAGGCCCAACACCCAGCCAACCTGTTGCCGCTGCTGTAAATAGCCCTACTTCGAAAACAAAACTTATTTAAGACTTACCCTTTATTTTGAAAAAACATTAAAACTAGTCAAAGGTTTCTGTGACATTGTTACAGTCTGAGGCCCAAAGCCACAGCTGTGTGGGCTGTGATTTATCTGCTCTTACTGAAAGTGAGGTAAAGAAAGTGCCCTCCTTGCAACAATAATGTTGAAGGAAAACTGAGCACTGTGTAGAAAGTGATATTGGGGATTCACTTCCTTCCTCCTGGCCAATAAACTGCTGCCCTAGCATGAGTGTATGGGGCAACCTGTAGTAAATCTGACCAACTCTAAGGGCTGGACTAAGTAACATGAACATCCCATGGTAACTTCACAAGAATCTTTCTGGTTGTTCCACTCCTGCTTCATTTCCCATTTGGCTAATTACAGTCTACTGTGCTGGCCATATGCCTTCTGTTCCTGTGCTGTAGTGTTACAGTTAACTAACTGTCAGCAGATCAGCAGTAAATAAAGTATGGTGAAGGCCTTGTAGCAGATAGTGTAGGATTTCCATTGTACTATCATTCCATACACCTGGCTATAGATTCATATTAGTCCAGTGTTTAAACATGGTTTCACACTGACAAAAGTTTTAGAAGGAACTACCTGATTCACTTATAACTAGGCTGTAGTTTTGTTAGACTTAAAGCTTTCTCTGGTCTTGAATCTATACAGTTCTAAGGAAAAATTAAAGTAGGGAATGAAGAGGCCCACTGGAGCCATCCCAAGCAGGGTTTCTTAACCTGCAACTTCAAAGTCAGTCAGCTATCAGTCCTTGTTAAGTGGCAGCATCCATAACTTCTAGGATGCCCTGCCTTTACTACCACGTAAACATCATGGTATGAGTAAGTAATACCTGGACAATTACTGATAGGGACCTCTACCCCCACAAAATAAATAAAGGCCTAAAAGCTATATAGTTAAGTTCTCACCTAATATGTTGACCAGTTGGCCATTCAATTAAATAGAGTAATTTTTTTGAGGTAGCATCTGCTGAAGAATTACACAGATAAGGAAGGGATAGATCATCAAAAGGTTTTCTCCTAATAGTGCTGATGAGGGACTAACTCTACTCATGAAATGTAGCATGTGGAAGATTTACCAATTTTAAGAACTTTATGGGACAAATCTAACTCCATGTAGGAGCAATACAAGCCTGAAGGCCATGTCATTTTGATGGCAGTTATTTAAAGGATGGAGAGTTCACCCTGCTTCTCTTTCCTCCCCACTTCTCCTTCTAGTCATTCTGGTGTCTGGCTTCATACAATGCACTGTTCTTCAGCATTAATTATAACAATCTGTCTCCTGGAAAATATCCACACGAGTCAGCAAAAACTGCTTAAATTTCCATGTAGCATTTAGCAATTTCCCTGAAATCTTTTATAAGATCTAACCTATTTCCAAAATTTGGAAGACAAAGAAATATAGTATGCATTTGTAAACAAAACTACAATTTGACATGTCTAGAAACTGGGGGGGAAAAGTAGTGGGGGAGAAAAACCAAACTGATCTGGGCTTCAGACTGATTTACTATCTGGTAAATAAACTAGGAGACTGTCTAAACAAAGTTAATTTAAATTTAGACCTTACTATATAATAAACATTAATTCAGAGATAACTGAAATGCTGTTGTAATTGTAGCTTACCTGCAGGATGCACAATATGAGGGATTGTCTATATTAAAGTTGCATTGGTCTGTTTAGTTATCCTGGTGCAAATACTTAACATAGATGTGTATTAAACCATGCTTGTAGCAGTTTAGCACATTGTTAAATTAGTGGAATTTATCTACACTGGTTTAAGTGCATCTATGGTAGGGATTTGGACAGGTTCAAACAAATTTGCATATGTCCAGGCCTCAGAGATGCTATGTTCATTTTATATTATGAAAATACAGGTTCCATTAAAAGAAGCTACAACTCTTAATTTATATGCCAAAATCAAGACTTCCTGTCATGCATGCAGACACAAAAAAGGCAAGACAATTGTACCCACTCAGGTGACTGGCATGGTGGGCAAATCTCCATGATGGTCATCCCGACTTTTAATCTCCTTAATACATTACATACATGGCACTGAACACAGGTAATTCCACTCAAGTATTGCAGTCTGTTTAGTTAAAATCTACACGCGCACGCACACACGTGAACCATTTCAGGTCATTTTTTACTGTATCATTAAAAATAATAAAGGTAATGAAAATGTTATCACAATGATACTCTTACAGCAATAAAGGTTTGAGGCACTGTGGGAAGAGAAGACATTTTCTGGCAAGTTTCGTGTTTTGTTGTGACCACGATGGGTCCAGTTTTGTGAAGCATTAACTGCCCTTGAGTTTAATTGGAGCCAACGAGAGGTCAGGACACTCAGTACCTTCAAAGACCAGGCTCCCGACGTGACAAGAAGTCAGACATCTAGTAAAATGTGCACTTTATGCCCATGATTTTATTATTTGATTTGTCTTCATTGGTTTAATTTTTTCTGGCACTACAGTGTTGTAAGGAAGACAGACATTAGGTCTGTAATTGTGGGTGAAATAATTTTCATTACTGATTCAGAAAAGAAAAAAATCTCAGCAGAGACACTACAGATTGAGAAGGGTGGGGGGCAGAGGCTAATCAATTCCCATAGTCCTGGAGATGGCAGCTTTCACATCAGAAGGGTGACAGAATAGTCAAGAAGCTTGGGGAAAATTGCACTACTGCTGCCCACGCTGTATCTGGTCTGAGGGCAGAGCACTTCAGTTTCCAGGCCTGTCAGCCTGACACCTTTCAAGAGCACGAAATTCACTTAAAAACTTTCTTAAAATTCAAGAAAACAACTAATACAGCAGCAGTAGTATCTAAGACATTTCCTCTTCACTCAAACGTGAGCATTCTTTTGAAATAGTTTTGAAATTCATCTTGCTGTAATGTCTTTCACTTTGCAATCCCCATCCCCTAATATCTCTAGGGGAGAGGCCCCTCAGTAAAAACACACAGGAGCTTGTAAATCATTTTTTTTCTTGGTTAGTTGGCTCATTCCTTTCCCTGTCAAGTATGAAATAGCAGTTTCACAGTGAACTTTTGGAGCACCGAACTCTGCCAACCACTGCTCTTCAGAAAAGGCAGCTCTTCGCAGGAAGCAATTTTAGTAATTTTACAGCAGGAAATCAGCACTAACCGTTTCCAGCAAGAGAGATGTCTATGGTCTCAATTACAGCAGAGGCAACTGACAAAGAGATGGGACAGAACTAAATTTGAATGTAGATGAGTCTTGGCAACATGTGCCTCTTTTTAAGTACCTATTCCCCCTCTCTGGTTATAAACAAAGCCCATTGTTTGCAGAAGTAGCTAAGCAGGTCTTTGGAACGAGAAACACTTAAAATCCCAGGTGTCATTCATACACAGACAAAAGCCGGGCACACTGAAGAAGTGAGAAAAGACTTGATGCCCAACACATCGATTTCCCAGTGGGAAAGTAACCTGCACTTTCTAGCTAATACCATGCATGTGACAGAAACAACTGCAGGTCTGATTGAAAGAAAGGTGCTAAACGGGCAACTGAAGAAAAACAAAAATAAAAAAAATACAGTACAAGTGTTGTGGATAGGAGGGAAGCAGAAAATATTTTAAATACTTCTCTCCTTTTTTTCAGATGTTGGGTCAGGTTCTTCAAGATATATACCAAATGCTGTATTCCTCTCTTATCTACAGTCAATGAGAACAAAACAAATGATAAAATCCCCCTCTGTTCTGTACTCTTAATAAAATGCATAGTACAGAGACAAAAGATATCATTCAGATCTGTCAGCTCAGTCTAAACTAATACTGGGACATGAAGTGAGGACGAACACTGTCCAACCGCCGAGTTAAGATTTCACAGCCAGTATCTGTGATCAGAAGAGTGTGTTCAAACTGCGCAGACCGCTTTCCATCTCTTGTCACTGCAGTCCAGCCATCAGGCCAGGTTTCGTCTTGCCACCCACCTAATAAGATAATTATTTAAAGATTAAAACAAAGTATGGACAATATTAGTTCTTCAATGTGTCCCTTCTAAATAGTATATACGCGGTGACTGTTATAAATATGAATGTGTATTACACATTGAATCAATTCATCAGAAGCCTTTTAAAAACTTCCAGTTTTGGGCATAATAATCTAGTTGGCTTCTATCACTGCCATACCATGCCTGCTGTTAATAATACACAGCAAAACATATGAAAGACAACAAATGCAGATGGATCTTCAAAGTCAATTTTCTTCACTTCCGTCATTACACTCTTTTAGAGCTTATTAAGGTTGTCAACCTCATCCAATGATGGCAGCAGACTTACCGTGGCAGTGAGAGTCCCTAAACTGGGGGTATAAAGTTGACTGTCAAGAGGCAAAATTTTGGAGTCCAAGTCAGATCACAGTGTCTCTTCTCTAGCTAGCCAAGTTCAATATCACATTTAAAGACAATTAAATGGTATTTAAAAAAAAAAAAAATCAAATGCATTAGGAAACTTCCTTCCCTCTGCCCATTAATTCACCTCTGCTTCCCCCCCCGCCCAATACAGGTCACACTCTCCACCTTCTTATGAATTCTCCCTACTCAGCCTCACTTTTCCTCAACAGTGAAAACGCACACACCTGCCCTACCTTTGGGAGATTCTCTCTCTCTCTCTCTCATTTCCCTCACTCTTCCTCCCAATGAGGAATCACTCCTCCTCCCATCCAGGACTGCCCCCTTCCTGTTCCCTGGAGCAGGGGGAATGGAAATACACCTACTTCCCAGAACCTGCTCCTGCAGGACTCAGCAACAGTAGAACACAGGGAACGAAGGTATGGATGCTGCTGGGCTCAGTGTCAGCAGGGGCCAGGGAAGGAGTAAGGAAGGAAAAAAGGGAGAAGGAGCCCAGCTCCTGTAGGATTTTGTAGAGAAACGAGCCTTGGTGGGGATAATTTGGGGGGGTGGGGAGGGGGAAGGAGAGGGACAGGGCTAGAAAGGTGCCTCTTCAGAACCCTGGCCTGTAGGGGGTTATGGCATCCCCACTGGCTGCACGAAGCTTCACTGCTAGGATAGCGGAGGGGAAAGGAGTAGTGTCCTGTGTCCAGTCCAGAACAGGCTCCCTCAGCAGCTCTAAGCTAGCTCCCTCCCAGCCCCTCAGAACCGCCACAGCCAGGCAGCTGCGGGTAGGAACCCTTTGTAAATTACAAAGGTAGCTGCAGGATGAAAGAAAGGGCCCTCAGAGCTGGATATGGCCCATTGGCCATATGTCTGACACCCCTAGTTTAGAGCAAGTTCCATAACAACAAATGAAACCCTAGCAAAACCCACATCCTCGCTCTATTTACTTAGCCCCCTTTCGAACTCCTGGCCACTTACCTTCACAGATCATTGGTTCGATTGTAAACACATGACCAGACTTCATCACACCAACAGCCTTATTTTCTGAAATGAAATTAGAATGCGAATTATGGTTGAACACAT